TAAAGAACCTTTAGAAAATGTAAGTAAAATTTTATTTAAATATTATTAATTATTATTTTAATTATTATTAAATATTTATTTTAGTTAAGATATAATTCACCAGATATTCTTTTACAAGCAGTTATTTCAATTTTACATTCATGTGTATTTTTTGATGATGTTAAAATTTTAGTATTTATATTATATTCTGTTAAAAAAGCTATTACAATTTTAGAATCACGTTCATATATTCTTGCTAATTGTTTTTGTGAATTAATTTATCTTGGTGTATCTATTAATAAGTTATCTTTAAATAATCATTCTATTTTTCATAAGCAATGTATTATAATCTTTAATAAGAGGTATAATGAATTTGCTGATCTACTTTATTTATTATGTTTTTTTTTACATCTACAATATAATGATAAGTAATTTAATATTATTAAATTTAAATTTAAAATATTAATTATTTTAATTTTATATTTTTAGAATCTTATTGGGTACATGGAATATTTAGAGAACTTTTATTAGCAGCAGATGACATTTTTAAAAAAATAGGTAAATCAAATATTTTAAGACGTGATTTATTATATTAAATAAAATTATATCATATAAGAGAACCACTATTTGATATTTTATATAGTATGTTAGAAATGCCACTTGTTTGGTGGTTTTCTTTTGAAGATAGTTTCCCTAAAGGTAAAGATTATTTGGTTCAATTAGCATTAAAATTATTTTCAATTGTTTTACATGCTGCTGGATGTGAACGTGTATAGTTTAGGTTAGGTTGGTTATATAGAATAAAAAGAAATAGATTAGTACTTCATAAAATAGAAAATATGTATAAACTTGCATTATATTATTATTCACTAAACAAGAATTACCATATTTTGAAGTAGAAAAAACAAATTCTGAAGTTTTTGAAATTTTAATTGATGAATATTTAAATCTAGATGAAGATGATTTTGTTGAAATTACTGAAGTTGATTTAAATGAAAGTGAAGAAAATACTAATTTAAGTGAAGAATCAAATTTATTATTAAATAATATTCTAAATTTAGATAAATTTGAAAATGAATTTGAAGAAGATGATCTTAGTATAGATGAAGATTATTATGATGAATATAGAGAAGAAACTTTTTTAGCAAATCAATTACAAGAAGATATTGATTGGAATCCAATTGAAGAAGTAGAAAAAATAATTGAAAATGTTTAAATCATAAATATTTTAATTTATTATTTTATATTGTTAAATATTTTTAAATTTTACTAAGATTTTTTTATTTAT